AAAGTACTAAAATTTCTAGAACTCAATTGAATGGTCAAATGATATTGGATTCAAGTATTTTTTGTAGAGATGGTCTTTGAATGATTATATGAAAAATAGACGGTTTGGATTAATGGAATACAATATGAAGTGGGGCCCTATAAGGGTGTCCCTCAAATAACACAAGAGTGTCCCTCAACTAAAGCTCCCTATATATATATATATATATATAGAGAGAGAGAGAGAGAGAGAGAGAGAGAGAGAGAGTTGGAGTTGGATTTAGAAACCATTAAACACATGTGGTTCAACAAAAGTTTATGCAATAATGCAAGGCAGTCGTGGAAAAATAATAATGCCATTGCCCTCGCACCTGACGTCAGACATGAAATCCTACAAATAGTAAAAGCATATCCAACAGATTCTCTATCCTCTCATCCCTAGTTAATTTGGCTAAAAAGAACGAAAATCCTCCTCCAGCAGACTCCCTTCTTGGCTCTTTATTTTGGGGAACCAACTTTTGGCTCTCTACGTCTAGCAAGAAGGATAGAGAATTTGGCTAGGAGGAGAGAGAGATAGAGGCATTTGGGAGGTTGGTGGGGTTGGGTTTCTATTATTATTTTTAAATATATTTGATTTGTAAGAGAAAGAAGGAGAAAGAGAAAGAGAAAATAATAATAAAATACTTCATATTAGCCAAAATAGAGAACAGTGCTGGAGGAAACACCTTTTAAATGGTTTGCTATAATAGTTTTCTAGCTATTTTAGCTAGAATTTGGCTAAATTTTGGCTAAAATTTGGAGACTCTCCTGGAGATGCTCTAGTGTGTTGTTTAGGTTTGGACACAAGATAATTAAATACTAGAACATCCTTTAGCCTTGTTTAGAGGGGCTGCACACACGACGCATTGAGCTGAAGATACGGCCATGTGTAGTTGCCTAGCAAAGCAAGTTATATCGAATTTAATTTAGAACTTGATCAAGACATGTTTTTTTTTTTCAAGTTTATAAATTCTTTTATACAACATATCATGGAGATTGGGGAATGGAATACATGACTTTGGATATTTGAGGAAATGCTCTTAACTACTTGAATTATAAACTCTTATAAACATATTGACCACTAAATATACTTAATCAATTTTTTTTAAGTACAAGTGATAGTCTAAACTACAGGGGAGGGGGATTTCTCACACAATCACACAACTATGATGTCGTGGGGATTCGAACCTGAGACTTCTGATATGCAAGTCAATACTCTTTTTCACTGAGCTAGACCCCACAGACAATATACTTAATTATTTAAATTACAAGCCCCTTACAAATATAACATCATATTATTAAGTATGATGATTTGGCACTTTCATTAACTCTTTTATTCTAGGTCTTACGGAGTTTGGTCGTCACTCACAAACCTTCAAACATTAAATATCTTGTATTGTTTGTTATGACTTCTCTTTCATGTGTTCAAACCATGGACGAACTGTGCAAATGGCTAACCTAGGCTATAGGGGTGGGCACGGTACGGTACGGTACGGTATTGAGCCCGTACCGCTACCGATACCGGAAATTTGAATCGGTATGGTACGGTACGGTATTATGGTTTGCCAAAATTGGTACCGTATCGTACCGTGCCAAATCGGTATCGGTACGGTATCGGTACCATTTCGGTACTAAAATGATACAACTAAAAAATGAACTAATTCAATATTCAACACCAAAATAAGTGATGTCTAAGTTACAAATTCAAAGATTCAACATATTCAATATCCATCAACATTTTCAATATTCAATATCCATTAACATATTCAATATCCAAATCCTAATCAACATATTCAATATCCAAATCAACCAAATCAATATTTATCCATCAACATATTCATCAAATCCAAATGGTTAAAACTCATGCATTATGACTTACAAACCAAAAGAGTTAAACTTATGCCTTATGGCTTACAAAAATACAAACACAATCCAAACATAAATGACAAAAGCGTTTGAGAAATTGAAAGGCAAGCGAGAGACAGAGAGCGAGAGAATGAAAAAAAAAAAAATTATATTTCAATAGAGTACTATTCAGTACGGTACGGTATTGACCGGTATCAAAATCTTGATACCGCTACCATACCATACTCGATTGGTATGGTACGGTACGGCACCGAATATCTATTGGTACCAAATGAAACGGTATGAAATCGGTACGGTACGGTGCGGTTAGGATACAGTTTCGGTATTTCGGTTTAAGATGCCCACCCCTACTAGGCTATAGCCCAAGTGACTTTTTTCTTTTTCAGCCTAACATAACATTCCCAGCCCACCACATGCTTAGTGAAATGCTCCACTCCACTAGATGCTTTGTGCAGGAAAAAGATGAGAACACATGCCACCTATTTGACTCTTAATTTAAAATTTTGGTTTTTTTTTTCAATAAAATAGTAGGTTTGGTAAGAGATATATTTAATACACACGTAGAGACGGACCATGCATATGGCTAACCTAGGCTATAAACGAAATGACTTTATCTATTCAGCGTAACATAACATTCCTAGCCCAACACATGTTTGGTAAAATGCTCCACTCCACTAAAGGTTTGTAGGGGTCTAAACCTTAGATACATTTTGCAGGAAAGAGATGAGAACACACGCCACCTATTTGATTTTTAATTCAAATGTTTTTTTTTTCAATAAAACAATAAGTTTAGTAAGAGGGATATTGTTTGGGCCTAAAAAGAATTCGCATGCCAGCTCACTTCTCACAAAGGCTCACAAAACAGAAAAGGACGGAGGACTGGGCTTTGATCCAAAAATAGAGAAAGCCCAAGACCAAATCAGAAGGCCCATGACTTTTACAAAAATGGCAAAGTTATAAAAACGTCAAGATTAAAATGTAATCAACCACTGAAGCAGATCAATAAAAGATTGAAAGAAAATTGGATGGGGCCCAGCTTCTGGCTCACCACTGATCTCAAAACCCAGAGTGCAAAGTCAGCAAGATATTTTTTGAAAGCCTATTCTCAGAACCCACGTGACTACTTGACTTAGAAAAGTCAACAATTTCCACTATCACAAAAGAATTGATTGGGAATTAAATGAAAGTAGGTCATTTGCAAACGACTTCTCTGAAACTCTGGGGCTAAAAGATCATAATCCCTTTTTATACAATTATGCGTCAGAACAGGTGATCATTCCAAGAGATAAGCAAACTACAATCTCAAATAGATAAGTGAGAAGCAGAGAGTTGTTCAAATAGTCAAATCAAAACTAACCATCACATATTTGAGCTCTTACAGAGGGCAGTTAAATTAGAAGAACGGTTAGGTTTCTTTTCAAAAAATACAGGGAAGTGATTGCCATTGGAACTAACTATTGAGAGCTTATATGCCAGAATTGATAAAACCCTTTTTTTCTTTGCATTAAAAAAATGGAAGTTCTTGCTTTTTAGAAAATCTGCCGCCCATTTTTAAAGGATTAGGAATTATTCTAGCATTCCTATAAATGTAAGAGAATGTGAACAGAGCAGAGGACAACCAATCAAACAACCAAAAAAAAAAAAATCAACCAAAGACAAAAAACTCAAAATGATCACTTGATCTCTGAGAAACTTTCAAACAAACTGAAGCAACCAAAAAACTCATTCGGGCCCCAAAAGAAGCCAGCTATAAATCAGGACTTCCAATTCGGACTTAAGAGAAATAAGTCATTCAAAACGAGATTTCTCTCGTTACAAATTTGGTTCAGCAAAAAACCAAAACAAGCAGAGTTTGAGTTTTTACAAATATGAAAACCTCAACAAATTTATGGAGACCCCTGATCAAGCATAAGAAGTACCACAATGCAGTTCCAGTTCAGTAATCCGTAAGTCTAGCCACTTCTGCCCCTTTCAGATTGAAGAGGCCGCAATTCTGCCCATTCAAAAATCCTCTCAGGGCTCGAAATAGATTAAAACTCTGACTTTGGTATCAATTTACAGCTGGAGCTCAGCAGTTGAAGTTGGGAACAATCCAATCCAACACAGGCATACCCAGTTCAGCCCGGATCAGAAGCTTCTGTCCAGGCAGAAACGAAATTCCAGCATTTTTTTTGTCTTTCTAAAGTTGATTTTTTACTGTAGAGTTTTGTAAAAGCCAGTTCCGCCTGAAAACAGTTCATTTTCCTACTATCTATTCTGGCCAGAACTACCAGCATTGTATTGTGAAAAATTATGAAGTCTTCACCATTCTGAGACATAAAAAGAACTTACTTGGGAGATATTCCTCACTCAAATTCACAATTGCTTGTTTAGAAATCAGTAACTTGTGGCGCAAGTTATCTATGTTTAAGAAGTCTGTTAGAATTTTTATTGCTAGCAGTGGCACGCTCGCACACTAAAGAAAGTTGACTTGCTGACTAGTCAATGGTCTTCAAAGTAATGGGGAACTTTACCCTTCCAGCACATGAGCAAATACAAAACGGGTGAACAAATATTTAATACACACAGTGTCGTTTTGATTAAATTTATGAACCCAACCCAGCCAACCCTTTCGTTCTTATTATTTAATTTCCTTCTCACTAAAAACCCAAATTCCATAAAGCAATAGCTACACACCTTTCGTTGGGTTGATGGCAAGGAAGAGTTATGTGAGTATGGAGGAATTGAAGGGTTTATTCTCTTCTACTTGATCCAGAAGGATCATATAATAAATATAGTATAATATAAATCAATTATATTATTTAATTATTTAAAATACACGAATAAGTGGTGGCTGAAAAGAATTAGTCTTAAGCCACCAACTTTGCATGGCTTAAGTATGCAAGAGCGTTAAGCCACATAGCTTTTATAGTTTAATTTCATTTGCTATTTTAGTTCAGTTATTTTTAGAAAGCGAAACTTGTATAAATTAATACGTAAGTTTATTGAATGTAATACACAAGCTGTTTTGGTAAGCAAGTTTCTTCTATCATCTAGAAGTTTTGGATCACTGCTGCTGCGAATGAGGTTTCTATTTTTTTCCTAACTTTTGAGTTCATTCTTTATTTAATAGAGATGTATTATGCTCCTCAATGGGGAGGATAAAAGGGATTATTTTTACATTCGACAATTGGTTTCTCAGCTCAATCGGACAGTTGGTTTCATTACTAGAGGTGTTTGTGTTTGCTCTGCATCGATGCAATATGGCAGCACATGCTGTTGCAAGTTTTGTATTCATTTTGAATGAAATTTTCCAGTGCTTTGACCAAAAAATAATAATAATAATAATAAGAAAAAAAAAAAAAGAATAGGTGAGTTATGAGGTGAGGTTTTTCCTTAAGTCCTTAAAAGTTATTTTACAAATGGATAAATTTGTATTTAAAATTTTGAATATAAAATGAGTGAGAAAATAGGACAATTAGATGGAAATAGGAGGACTCTAACAAAAGATAATTAATACTTGACTATTTGCGGGAGCAATAGCATTATTATTGCATTATGATTTGCTTCGCTCTCGTCACATGAATGGAGGCAGAACTAGTCAAAGCTAATATTATAGCATATATTGTCTTTTTGAGTACGTAAACCACGAGACATCCTTTCCATAATTGAGGAGCAAGTCAAACCTATATATCCAATCCAACTCCAATAATTTTTCTGCAATCAAACTGCATGCTTTCCTTAATTGGCAGAGAAACGTTAACGGTTTATTTCATTCATTTTTTATTCATACATACATGCTATGTATATATATTTTTTTCATGTATGAAAAGGATTAAATCCGGCCATAATCGCATTCTCCAGAGGCCAAAAGAGTGGTTTAGGGAGAGCGTCCCATTCGTACCAATCCCATCCGTCACAGAAGTTTGGCTCCACATTTTGGGGCACTTGATCATCATCTGCCAAAACTGCCCTCATGAAAATCCCCACGTACTGGCATGGCTTGGCCTCGTCTAGGAACACGTTGTTTCTTACCGTCATCAGCTCTATATTCTTAATCCCCAAACCAGTTTCCTCCTTCACTTCTCTTGCTGCACACTCCTCAAAGCCCTCACCTAAACCAACACAACAACACAAAATTAATTCACTAGGAATTTGAACAAAAAGGAAAAAGAAAAGAGAAGCAAAATCCCATGAAATTTTCTAATATATAATTAAGTACCGAATTCGAGGTGGCCACCAGGGAAAGAAAAGGTGGAGTCGCCAAGGGAGGAACGGCGCCGTCCCAACAGCACCCTTTTCCCTTTGATCAGGCACACCACTACCGCCACTCTCGGCACGGGTGCCTCCTCCGTTTCCGTTTGGTTTCCCATGCTTTAATTGGAGTTTCTTGTATTAATATACGGGAGATATATGCATGTAGGCTTACTGCCCTCAGCCTTATATAGAAAATATTGGGTCTGCTTATACTCGCACCAGTCCCAATCCATAAATGGTGAAACGAGAGAGAGCGCGCGCATCCTTTGACTTTTTTGTTTGGTCAAAAGCACTGTTCCATATTGATTCTATGTCTTTCTGATTCGCTGTTGCGGTCCATATGATTGTATTATTCTTAATTAATTAGTTTTATTTTATAATCTTGTTTATCTGTCTCAACGACAACGTGTGTATTGAATAGTTCCCATGTTGTGACGCACAGCCTTGTTGTAATTGACGTAGGTTGCACATTGATCTAACTAGATAGTTCATTATTAATGTCCACAACGTAACTTGTAATAAGTTAATAACGTAATATGTTTCAGTTCTATTCTTATTTTCAAAGTTTCATAATATTATTGTTGACAACACTCATTTTATGTTAACCGCGTGCAGGGCCGGGCAGAGCCACCACCGGTTAGGCAAAAAGGAGGCCGTGTTTTTTAAGACATCGACCAAATAAATATTTATAGCCAAGTTTCCTTCTACATTTTGTTTTTAAATAAATATTTCTTAATCTATTGATGATTTTCAACCAAAATCAAAATGAAAAAACACAACTAGCATGGTAGTTTTGTTCTCAAAATGATTGTGGTTTTAATGTTTTAGCTTTTGCTTTTAATTTCAATATAATTTTGAGATATTTAGTCATATACCCATTCTTAGTACTAAAACTATAAATAAACCCTACATCATTTAATTTATATAAATAAAACAAACAAAAAAAACCCAAAAAATGACAGTTTGCCTTATTAAATTACTTTGACGCCCTATTGAGTATTTTGGACTTTTTTATGAGATTTTGGGGTTGGGTTTATTTTAAGAAATCAATTACAGTTTTGTAATTCAAAAGAAGTTAAAAGCTTTTTTGTTATGTTGTAAATGAGCAATGGGCTTTGGGTTTGTTTCTAAAGTCCATTTCATATAGGGTTTTTATTTATTTATAATTTAGGCTCCTATATTGGATATAATAGTGAATCTCCCAATAATTTTAAGCCTCTGATCTTTTTTTTTTTTTTCTTTTGAATGAGACTAAATGAAAATTCTGGAAATTTTGTGGTTGAGATTGTGAGAAGTAGGAGTCTAGATGCGAAGCGATGTAAAAGATATTGGAAATCAGGCAAAGTCTTGCAGCATATACTTTTTCCAACTTAACTTGTAAGTTGGAACTCATACAGTAATTATTCACAATTGCAGCATTTACTTTTTCCAGCTTAACTTGTTTGGTATTCTCCAACAAGGACCCAAAAAAAAAAAAAAACCTTCAAATCCTAGCTCAGTAAACCACACATCTCCTTCAATCCAAGTCCATCTGGGTTATTTACTCAAATAGTACTCAAACTTATACATGAGTTGCATGTTGGTCTCTTAACAAAATTATTCATTCAAATGGTCTACAAACTCTTTATTATCCGGCGAATTGGTCTTACCATTACACTCCATCAATATTGCCGTTAATTTGAGGATTAAAATCTTCAATTTATACTAAAATATTAATGAATTAAAACGGAGGTAGAGGAAGAACACAGAGGGGTGGCTCTGCCTTCTTCTCTTCTCTCATCATGGAGAAAACATAAATTTCTTTCTCTTAATGAAGAACATATAAAAAAAGAAACAAGTGATAAATAAAAACAAGAAATATCTCCTTCATCTCATCCCGCATCTATTCCACAGAGCAACAAAAGATAAACTACTTTTTTTTTTCTTTCCATTTTTGCAACTCCAACGAGAGGAATCCAATAAAATAAATTGATCAAGGCACCCAAGTGTCTTCTCCCCTCAATCCTCGGCTTCACCATTGAAACCTGTTGCAGAGAACTTAACCCGTGCGGCTGTCTGGACAACGCCAGCACCACTGTCATCTCTCCCTTGTCGACTGGTTGTCTGAATTGTGCTGCTATCATTTGGTTGTGCAGGCAGTGGCAGATCCATGAATTTTTCAGGGGAGAGACAACATTTAAAAGACTAAATGCTCCAAAAAAAAAAAGTATTTATACAATCAAATATCCTTAATATTTAACCTTTTGAACCTGAATTATTTTTAAAAAGAATATATATATATATAATGCCTATTAATAAATATTAAATATGCTATTAGGTGGAGAAACTATAACCTATTCAATTAATAGTGAATTCCAGAGTTTTTTCTCACACCAAACAAAAACCTATTAATAAATATTAGAGATGTTATTACGCATATTAAATATTAAACACGCTTGCTTTTGGAGAGCTCAAACTTAAATGAAACGATGTGTTTCATTAAAAGAGATAAAAGACAAAGAACGGTGTCGTTCTAGAAAAATAAATTAGGTTTGGTCTTCTTCTTCGCGAAAATCTGAGCCTTAGACTTCATAGCCACTGGCTGGCTACGCCTTTTTGCGTCTTACACTCTAAGGAATTTTCCGGCGAGCCTCTGTGGGTCCGCCACTGTGTGCAGGGAAGGAAGAAGAAGAAGAAGAAGAAGAAGAAGAAGAAGAAAAAGGGAAATCAAAACTACACTATGCAAAAGTCGCATTTACCTTTCCTATTCTTCTCACGTGCAGTTCACATAACTAAAACTCACAAAAAATGTAATGGTGGCCCAGTTCGCCGAATAATAAAGAGTTGGTGGACCATTTGAACAACTAATTTAGTTGAGGAACCAAAATGCAATTTAGGTATAAATTTGAGGATCATTTGAGTAAATAACCATTTTAGTTACTTAATTAAAGGGCACATAATTATTTAGGACAAACTACATAAAACCCCCTAAACTAAGGGTCATTTTCAGTACATGCCCAATTCTAGAGATATTTACGAGTACATACTCAAACTCCCAGAAACTCTACAATTTACCTCATTCGTTAGCCAAACCGTTAGCTGGTCTATTAAATGTTGATGTGGCATTTGTATGACCTATTTTTTAATGACATGGACTTCCATGTAGACAATAATAAAAAAATTCTTTATTTTTTTAAAATTAAAATCATTAAAATTTAAAAATCAAAAAGTAAAAAAAAAATCTCCATCACTCTCCTCCCAACCCTCCCTTAGCACAACTTAGCTAGCCAACCCAAGACCCCACAGCAGCCCAAATAACCACCCTAGCCAATCGCCCCTCCTGATTGCCCATCACACCTCTCGAACCCCCCGAAATCTCTGTGCACACACACACACACACATCTAGTTCGATCCAGTTATGCTACCACTCATATCTCCACCACCAAGCCCCATATGCAGATCTGCAAGTGGCTAGACTCCAGATTGTGAATTAAATGCAGCAACCTCCAAATTTTTATTATTATTTTATATATGATCCAACCATTTGGACTAATATGGAGAATCAAAATCACACCATTGAAAAAATCGACCCGAAAAGGAGAAGGGCCGGTGGTGGGCATTTGGGAAAGTCGGGCTGATCGGGTGTCTTCATTCAAGCGATGATATAGATCGTCCAATTATTTATTAGCATCTATCGAAGAAAGGATTTGACCAAAAACAGTCCAAGAAAGGAACGAATATCAATAATAACAGACTTTTTATTAATTAATAGCACAGCATTCTCACTAAAGACAAGTGTAGCTCGATTCATGGTGATGCATGAAAAGGATTAAATCCGGCCTCCACCGCATTCTGCAAAGGCCAAAACAGCGGTTGTGGGAGGCGGACCCACTCATACCAATCCCAGCCGTCACACATGTTGGGCTCCACATTTTGGGGCTCCCGATGATCGCCATCTGTCAGCACTGCTCGCATGAAAATCCCCACGTAGTGGTGTGCCTTCACTTCCTCTACGAACAAGTTGTTTGTGACCCTCAGCAACTCTATCTTCTCCTTGTCAATGTCCAAACCAGTTTCTTCCTTCACTTCTCTCGCTGCACACTCCTCAAAACTCTCACCTGATTTCACACAAAACACAAAATTAATCCCGTTAATTAATTAATTAGTAAAGATAAATAATAAAACAAAAATCCATGTATTTGTATATAATTACCAAACTCGAGGTGGCCACCAGGGAGGGAAAAGGTAGAGTCGCCAAGAGAGGAACGACGCCGTCCTAACAGCACCGTCTTCCCCTTCAACAGGCACACCACTACAGCAACTCTCGGCGCCGCATTCTCCTCCCTTGTGTTTTCCATGTTTTTTCAACCTAATGTTGTGTTTCGGTCCTTTGTGGTTTATAATCTGCACGGGCTTACATATATAATGGAGACAAGATACAACTTCACCATTTGTTAGTTCAAACTTTGGAAGTTGGACCTTTTTTTTCTCTTGGTCTCAAAACGCTGTTCACAGATGTCGTTTCGTCTCGTTTTGCTTCTGTTTCTAGTTAGCTGCTAGCTGTTGTGTTTTTAATTTTGTTTATTGTTCAACACCGACCCCGACCACATTGTGTTTGTATAACTATAAGAGTTTCTCTTTGTGTGAGAATTGAATAAGAGTAGCCATGCTGTGACGCAGAGCCATGCTGTAACTGACGTACAGATGCTCCACTTACGACGTCGTTTATGAAAAACAAACATAAAGACAAATAATCGACGGCTTTATGATTGACAGTGATTGAAAAAGGCAAGACCACTTAGTCTGTTCACTAACTATTAGTTAAGTGGTATTTCTCTTCCCGATACTAAAAAAGATGTTTGAATAATCCTTCCTCTCATACTTTGTGTACATAATAACTCACATTACTTGGATAAAATTATTCTGAAGGGCAGTAATCTATAGTATTTTGTGGTTCATGGTCATAAGACATTTAATGTTGAACTTGTTCATGTTGGGAAGCCCCTCCAAAGACTGGGCCTGCTCCAAAAATATCGTCGGGTCCATTCTGGCGGCACTTAAGAATGAATATCCAAGAGCAAAAATCTAGAATGTTATAAGTCTTAAGACTTCGAGTTTGGGTTGAGGTATCTCTATCTCATCGTATCATTATCTTCCATGATATG